TTCAAATCAATCTCGGGCCTAATGTTGGGGATATAACTGGTGGGTATAAACCACCCAGGAGGGGCCATTTTATCCACAGAGAGACTACCAATATTGAAGCCCATGAAGTCATAGAAGATGGCGATTTATGAAGGAAACATAATAGAGGGAGCCCAAAAATCCCAGAGGCGGGTTAGGGCCCATAGACATAAACCGCCATAGGCGTGTAACTTGTAATGTAAGGCAGGAAAAGGTAGATACCGAGCCGGACACGTTTATGAACCGGCCTCGGGATTCTGTAGACCGACAGGCATCAACCTGTGTATATAAAGGGACGACCCGACGGCGGTTAAGGGACAAGAAACAACAACTCGAGAGCCAGGCAAAGCGGATTCGCTCCCTGGTCATCGAAACCCCATCAATTCCACCATAACTGGATCGTAGGCTTTTACCTTCACCGCAAGGGGCCGAACCAGTACAAACTCCCTGTGTCCTTTGTCCGGTTTAACCCCTTTAAGCTAATCTCGTTGCGATGACTCCACGACTAAGTCCTTACGCTAGGACATCTGACGTGACAATTCCACAACACTTAGCATTAAGATTGTTACAGTTTTATTGCTACTGCTTTCTTCATGACTTATACATGTTCCTCTGACTATGAGATTATGCAACTCCCGAATACCGGAGGAACACCTTGTGTGCTATCAAACGTCACAATGTAACTGGGTGATTATAAAGATGCTCTACAGGTGTCTCTGAAGGTGTTTGTTGGGTTGGCATAGATCAAGATTAGGATTTGTCACTCCGTGTATCGGAGAGATATCTCTGGGCCCTCTCGGTAATGCTCACCACTATAAGCCTTGCAAGCAATGTGACTAATGAGTTAGTTACGAGATGAAGCATTACGGAACGAGTAAAGAGACTTGCCGGTAACAAGATTGAACTAGGTATGATGATACCGATGATCAGATCTCGGGCAAGTAACATACCGATGACAAAGGGAACAACGTATGTTGTTGTGCGGTTTGACCGATAAAGATCTTCGTAGAATATGTGGGAGCCAATATGAGCATCCAGGTTCCTCTATTGGTTATTGATCAGAGATATGTCTCGATCATGTCTACATAGTTCTCGAACCCGTAGGGTCCGCATGCTTAACGTTTGATGACTATTTGTATTAAGAGTTATGTGTTTTTGATGACCGGCGTTTGTTCGGGGTCTCGGATGAGATCACGGACATGACGAGGAGTCCCAAAATGGTCGAGACATAAAGATTGATATATTGGAAGGTTATGTTCAGACACCAGAAAGGTTTCGAAAAGGTTTGGACATTTTCCGGAGTAGCGGGAGGTTACCGGAACCCCCCGAGGGATTAATGGGCCTTCATGGGCCTTAGTGGAACAGAGGAGGCGGTGGCCAGGTGGAGGCACGCCTCCCCCCTAGCCCAAATCGAATTGGACTAGGGGTGGGGCGCGGCCCAGCTTTCCTCCTTCTCCTCCACCTCTTTCCATCTTCTCCTATTCCGGAAAGGAAAGGGGAATCCTACTAGTACTAAGGAGTCCTAGTAGGACTCCCCACCACTTGGCACGCCCCCTAGGTCGGCCGCCTCCTCCCCTCCTCCTTTATATACGGGGGCACCCCAAAGACACACCAAGATTTCTCTTCGCCGTGTGTGGTGCCCCCTCCACAGTTTACTCCCCCCGATCATAGCATCATAGTGCTTAGGCGAAGCCCTGCACTGATCACATCATCAACACCGTCACCACGCCGTCGTGCTGACGGAACTCTCCCTCGACCCTCTACTGGATCAAGAGTTCGAGGGACGTCATCGAGCTGAACGTGTGTTGAACACGGAGGTGCCGTACGTTCGGTACTTGGATCGGTTGGATCGTGAAGACGTTCGACTACATCAACCGCGTTAACTAACGCTTCCGCTTTCGGTCTACAAGGGTACATGGACACACTCTCCCCCTCTCGTTGTTATGCATCTCCAAGATAGATCTTGCGGATCGTAGGAATTTTTTTGAAATTGCATGTTACGTTCCCCAACATGGGCAGCTTCTGGCATTGAATCACAACCAAAAGAGCGACCATTTCCTTCTTCGGAAGGACTACTTTGACACAACCAACCCGCAATTCAAACATTAGAAATTTCGGCGGCATTTTTGTATGAGTAGGCATCTTTTCAACCGTATCAGAGAGGGGGTAGTCGGATACGATGACTATTTCGAGTGCAAAGAGGATGACCTTGGAAAGATTGGCTTCTCATCTTATCAGAAATGAACTGCAGTCGTCTGGATGCTTGCATACGAGTGCCCGGTGATCTCATTGCTCAATACGTCTGTATGAGTTAGTCTACATGCCTAGACTCCATGCACAAGTTCTGCAAGGCTGTGATTGTTGTGTTTGGCCCTGAGTACTTGAGAGAGCCGACTGCTCAAGATATAGCCCGCTTGTTGGCGATGAATGCCAGCAGGGGCTTTCCAGGGATGCTTGGCAGCATAGATTGCATGCACTAGGAGTGGAAGAACTGCCCTTCTGCTTGGCAAGGGCAGTATAAGGGCCATGTCAGGGCTTGCATTGTCATACTTGAGGCCGTGGCCTCACAAGATCTCTAGATCTGACACTCTTTCTTTGGCATGGCCGGATCACACAATGATATCAACGTGCTTCAACGCTCGCCGGTGTTTGCTAGGCTTGCCAAAGGCAACAACACATCGATGAATGTTACCATCAACGGCCACAACTACGACAAAGGATACTACCTAGGTGACAGTATCTATCCTCGGTGACTATTGTGAAGACAATCCCCAACCCTATCAGAGAGAAGAGGAAAAGATTTGCCCAAGAGCAACAGAGTGCTAGGAAGGACGTCGAGCGTGCCTTTGGTGTTTTGCAATCTCGATGGGGCATCGTTCGGTATCCTGCTAGGACTTGGAGCACGAAGAAGCTGTGGGAGGTGATGACTACTTGTGTGATCATGCACAATATGATCATAGAAGATGAGCGCCCGGAACGTATCCACGATCAAGGGTTTCGGTTTCAGGGTGAGAATGTTGTGCCTGAGCATGGAAAAGCAGCAACGTTTGAACACTTCACCCAATTTCATCATGACATGCGTGATTGGGAAACTCGCATGCAGCTGCAAAATGATTTGATTGAGCATATGTGGGCTCATGTTGGCAACCAATAGATATATCTTTTTTATTCGGCTTGCAAAACTATGTGAGGCTATTTTATTTTTATTCGGCTTGTAAAACTATGCTTAATTTATTTGGTTGTGAAACTATATGTTTGCTTGTGAAATAATGCAAAATGTGTGCATATTTGTTGAAAAAGGGCGGCCAGCCGGCCGCGACAGCAAATATGGGTCGGCGCGTTGGCGCACTACCGACCCAAATAATAAATTGGGCGGACACCGAATGGGCGGCCAAACCAAATGAACAAAAAAAGGACAAAAGCGCCGTCCGTTTGGGTCGCGCATTGAAGTCGCTCTTATGCTTATAATTTATTTAAAAGTGGTTATATTATTTTATTTGGAAACACTGTGATGTGCAGGTTTATTTGTTTCTTGACTTGAGAAGTCCCACGAGGATTGTGAGAGGGTGTTTGGTTACAGGGACTAGACTAGAAAAAGTCCCTTTTAGTCCCTATGTAACCAAACATGAGGGACTTTTCCTTAAGGGACTAGAAAAAGACTCTATTCGATGGTCTTTTTTCTTTAATCCCTGAGACTAAAAAAAGTCTAGTCCCTTACAACCAAACACCCCTGAGCCATGTCGAGCACTTTTATTTGGGTCGATCTATTTCCACTCATTTTTGCTTATTTTCTTTGCTAATAAACAATAAATAAATAAAAAAGGTGTTGACCAAACCATCTGATCTCATCAAGTGAGGCCACCTCAGTCGACATAGACTCGCACTAAACCGTGGGCCATGGACCGGTTAGTTGGGACGTCGCCGACACAGTGGTGTCAGCAGCCATGGCATGACACAGATACGTCCAGCATGTGATCTTGAAGTTTGTGGAGTTGCAGATAGCAAATCAGAAACTGGAGGATTCAACGGAGACGACGCATCTCGAAAGCGGCACCGTCAATTTCTAACTGTTTTGTTTGGCCACACTCCACTGTCTGATTGCAACTCACCGGACATGTCCTTTGTTGTGTGACGACCATGCGTTCTGGTGTCGTCCCCTTGGGTGCGCGTCACGTCAGTAGTATCAGATCGCAGGAAATCTCCTGTGCCTCCTCAGCCTGCTACCGTGTCTGCACTACCGCCGCGAGCGATGTCGGTGCTCTGGCGGGAAATTGAACGGCGCTCCGACGGTCATGGTTGAGCACAGTGAATAAAAACACACTGGCACGGTGGAGGTACAAGTGCAATTAGTAGCAAAGATTCCATCAGTTCAAGGAACCGACAGTCGAATGATAGAGCATACACATACATGAAGTGGGACGCAGCTCCTCTGACGTACGGCGCACTCGCTGACGTGTGGACCCGGACCCACGCGTCAGTGGCCCAACGTCAGGTGGCCGTACCTCAGGGGATCCGGCTCCCATGAAGTGCAGCCAAAAAAGCTTCAGGACTAAAGATTTCATCCTGGAAGGCCACTTGTATAACGAACCCACCACTACGAAAACTAGTTTTTTCTCTATCTGTATGTATACACCGGAGTTTTTTTTTTCCTTACAAGAATATGTCAGACAGGGTAAACACACACACACACAAGGGAACTAAAGAATTGAGCGGAGAGCCGGAGCGGACAAGAGCGGAAAAACAGATACAAATGGGTGTGGCGAGAGATTTCACTCCAGCCGGGCAGGCGCTTTCTCGGGCACCACTCTCATGCAGGCGTACAAACGAACAAGGCCGTCGTCGTTAGTCGAGTAAGCACGCATCAGCCAAACCCAATCGCATTCGCACGGAACTCAAAGACCGCTAACAGCAAACCAGGCCGCATCTCCCACCTATTTACACACAAAAATCACCACCCCCCCCTACAGGGCGGGCTGCTGCTACTATACTCTGACGGGAAACCCAAAATTCTGGAGTATCCTGATCTGACCCCCGCTGCCTGCCGTGGCGATGGCCATGCCCCAGGCCGACCGGCTCGGGGCCTGCCCGGCGGCGTCACCGTCGGGGAGACTGGTGCTGGACCGCAGGCTCTGTTTCGTCGGCGTCATGAGCTCCTCGGGCCAGGTCGCAGACGCTCTGTCGCCGCTGTGGTTCGAACCGTCGCTTAGGTCATTGTGGCTCTGCTGCTGCTGCTGGAAATCAGAGGAATCTCCGTCAGGATACTCGGACACACAGTCCAGCTCCTGGTGCTTCCTCCTGGAGTTGGTTCGGGACGTCGCCGCTGACCCCGCCGTGGATGGCAAGGCAGCGGCCACCGTCACGTCCTGGCAGTAGAAGTACTCGTAGGAGTTTGCGACAGACACGACGCCCTTGCTGCTGCCGCTTCTTTGCTCAGGGCCGTCGTCGTTTCTCCACATGTACACATGGGAGTTTTCGCTCGCTGAGATCACGTATCTGCCTCTCGCTGCGTAGCAAGCTGAGATTTGGCTGTTGGTGTTTCGGAAACCTGAAAGAGAAAAGGAGGCAGGGCGTCAGCAACCGACAAAACATATGGATATCAGACCCCGTCCTAAAAGAAAGATATATAAGTATTTTATTAACATGTTAATTGGACATTACGAGCTATCAACTCAACACAGTGGATTCTGACAAGTTTTGGCGCTTTGCTGAAAGGAAGAACATGACAGCAGAAATTGGTCTCCACCATTCACATTCAATCAATGAGCAGAAATAGCATTACTTATAAGCTGGTTACCACACCATGATTGACAGCTGCAGCCCTACTCTAAACAGAACTTTCATACAGCGAATAGAATGATAGGTAACAGTAGCAAATAGGTTAAACAGGTCAAGGTAAACTTTAAAGCAACAGTGTCTCGAAAAGATTACTGGCCAAACCTTGAAGATAATAGCAATATGGTATATGACACAGTAGCTATGTTCGTTAAGACCTTGATACCTTTAAATTTGTGAACTAGTTCAAAATCATCAATAACTCGGATCCGTGAATCGGCAGATGTGATGAGCACCTTCGAAGAACTCCCTGGAAGGAACTGTTCAAGTAACTATGATTCAGTAAGAGAGGAAGGTTATCATCTGTATGGCCTGGTGTCAGAACAGATACAGAAGTTTTTAAAAGTAAGCACCTGAAATCCAGTGATCTTCTTCTGGCGGGACTTCTTTTTAGTTTGCAAGTCAATTTGTCTCTGTTGGATAAGCTTATTATCTGGTCAAGGTCACACAAAGGGTCAATTCTGAAGGAAAAGTAAGAGCTACACATTCAAAAAAATAAGCTTGAAAATGTCATAAGTCACCAGAGCAGGGGGAGAGAGAGAGACCTGATGTGTCATAAAGATGACAGCTGCCCTTGTGGGAACCAACTAACGCACTCTTCAGGGAAAATGAAACTTGGTGTTAGAACTTAACAAACGGAACACATTTCGGGTCGAAAGTATACAAACCTGTCCATCAGGGGTATAGCAAGCAGCAGTGACCATTTCATGCAGATCATGCCAATCAACAATTTCACGTTTTGGAATGCTCCAGATGCGGACCTTTTCATCCAGAGAACCACTAATGAAGTATCTATCATCGACAGGGTTGAACTGGATGCATGTCACTGGAAAGCAAAGCAATACAGGAAAACTGAGGATGATGCTGACAGAGTGAGAGGCATTCCATGTGTGAGCTAAACTGATAATTAAATCAAAATCTTACCATAGTCACAGTGTGAGAACGTTTTCAAACATGATACACTTGACATGTCCCATAACTTAACAGTTTTATCCATTGAAGACGAAAGCAAGTACTGCACACATGAAAAAGAAGTTAAGATAAGAAATTTTGTGAAGACACCTGAATCATAATAAATATTGTTACAAGATTCAAACAGTGGTAGCAACTAGCAACCATAGTTTGGACGCACTGCTGGAGTCACTATTGCAAATTGTGAAGTTTGGATATGTCGCTAGCACAGTAAGGTATAATTGTTGGCTTATAGCTGCCTGCGACGAGGACCCAACAATGTTTATGCATCTAATCTATAATCATGCATATCACCTTTTTGAATGATACTGAACATCAGAAATGTCGGAAAACTTCAAGGTGCAGGTCCTAGTTTCTAGTAGACAGTAAGACAAATCATAACTGAACGGCAACTAAAATTCAAACTCCATGAGTAATAACATGCATGTTATGCAACATGCTAGAGATTTCCTGACGTCCCAAGATACATTTAAGCCTAACATAGTTATTAGCCCATGGGCAAGAACATTCGATAAGTAAAGGATAATATATAATTCGGTTTACTATTAAAACCTGGGACATCCTAACCATATGGGTACATAACTCCATACTATTTCATGCAAGTCTAGTAGAATGGATTTGACCTTCAATTGAACCTAGAATCAGCTTGGCCTAAAAGGGGTAAAATCGGCAATAATGTAGTCCCAAAATAAGGCTCAAATATACTGGCACAGCACATTGTACCGTGGATGGCTAAATTTTGCAAAACCTCATATCATGCTTTACATCAATGAATGCAAAAGACTTAATCCAACATATTTCCAACATTGTAAATTTAGGCACAACAATCTTAACTTCGTTTGCTCTCGAGAAAGCACAACAATCTTTCCGAACATCCAGCATAGCATTCTGTGTATCTAATCAATCTCAATTTATACAACATTTCTAAGATCTAATCCCTTTGGAAAACTCAAACGCAAATGAGTGTTCCCACCTATCATGTGGTTAAATTGAGAAGCTTGTGTCATGATAACATGATAAAGATAACTCCAGTAGTTAACACTCTTGGAATTAAAGTACTTCATATCACATTTTGAAACACGTATTATCTAGTTAATTTCGAAAAAGAAAAGAAAAGGGAAATTACAAACATTACAGTGTGAAATGCTTATGTTACAGTCTGGGCACTAACTTTACTGTTTGATTCAATTGCCACTACATGTATCAAGATAGAAATAATGACCACAACAGGCAAACTGCAAGCTTGGAGAGCACATTCCTTTCTTTAAGACAGATAGCGGGTTCAGTTAGTTTTATGCATTATTACAACCTTCCTTTTGAAGAACAAATTTCAAAGTAGTAATCGCTTAGAGCTACAGGATACCAGTTTGCATACAATATGGCCTGTGTTTCTAAACCACTACAATTCGATTTGCTATCTGTCAGTTCATCATTTACAGTCAGCTACACTCTAAATGTCTGGCATGGCTGGACTCTCAAATATGGCAAAGAACTTTGGGGTTGCTCAAACAATGCAGTACTTATCAAGTTCTGCCTTTAAGAGACTAAGAATAAAAATGAAATTATTGAGGACTAATTAATCGACAGAGTTTTCTAAATTAGGCAGAAATTGGGTTGTGGGATTAAATTCAGTGATCACATTGTAGTCAACACGAAACAAGTTCAGGTATTAGAATGAGAAGCAACATATCATACCTGTGACTTGGACCAGCATAGATCAAGAACATCCATTGAATGCCCCTCAAAAGTTTTGACAGGTTTTTCCGACAGTCCAAACACATGCTCTGGCACCATCAACCGGTCTGAGCTACTGGATTTCCGACATTGCGAGACCCTCGCCCGGAGTTTCTTATCCCAATGGCTCCCATCCACAGTGGCCAAGGCCAATGTCGGCTCTGGCGAACCATTGCACATCACTGCAACAAATGGATTAGACACCCCATTCTCCTCTCGTCTCCTTTCAAACTCCAACACTTCCCAGACATGGATCACACAGTCCTCCCCGGCACTTGCAAGGTAGCGCCCATCGGGGCTAAACTTGATACTCCAGATAGGCCCGTAGTGCGCCCGTACCTCCTGGTTCATGAACAGCCCACTGAGCTCCTTGTACGACTTGCCGTACAGCCGCACCTTAATGCGCTCTGGGCCATGGTGCACGGCGCCGGCACTATCCTGGCTGTCATCCGTGGCTGAGCTGGACCGGCGTCCGCCCTTCTCCGATGACGTGTCCTTCTCGTCGCTGCTTCGGCGGTCACGGGAGCCGGCCACCATGGAGCCAGCGACGTGGCGGATGGTACGAAGCCAACTAAAGCGGCGCCTGGGCCGGGCCGCGCCGTTGCTGGAGTCGGAGCTGGACCTGTGGACGGGAGTGGAGGCGCCGTCGTTTGCAATGTTCTGGCGGCGCATGAGCTCCTGCACGATGGGAGAGCGGCCGACGCAGAGCTGGAACTGCTCCAAGGTGAGCTGGCGGCCCGTGCCGACCTCGCGGAGCTCAAACTCTTCCTTGACGACGAACTCGGTGCCGTCGTCGAGGTTCCGGATTAGGCACCTGGGGTCGGCCTCCGCCTCGTCGTCCTCCGGCATGGCCTCGGAGGAGCCCGACGACGTGCGGCCCCCTCGCGGCGGCTTGGTGGAGGTGGGCACGGCGCCGTCCGATCTGGATCGGGGCATGGGCGAGAGCGTGGGCGGGCGGACGGGCCCGTCGTAGGAGACCGATCGGCCCATCTCGAGGCGCGCGAGGGAGGGGTCCCCGGCGAGCCCCATCATCTGGAGCAGCCTCCTGCGGCGCTCCTGCACGGGCGCCGGCTGCGACGTCCACAGGTCGAGCGCCGCCGTCGCCGCGGCCGCCGGGTGGGCGTAGGCGTCCCGTCGGCGTCGCTGCTGCAGCGCGTGGTCATCGTCGTCCGAGGCGGAGGTGGATGAGCCGGAGGAGGAGAGGACGCGGTCCCGCGACTCGTAGAACACCTCCTCGTCCTCGTCCTCCTCCTCCTCGCCGCCGCTCATCTCCCCTCGCGCATTGACCGACCCGGCGAACACCGCGAGGAGGAATCGCTGGCCCGCCGGGGCCGGGGTCGGTGGGGGAGAAGAATCACGCAGAACGCGACGAGGGGTCAGATCCAGCAGCAGCGGGAGGGGAGGCCCGCCCGCGCGCGCGAGGTCGTCGGCGGAATCGCGACAGGTTCTTGCCTGCCCTCGCCCCCCTCGTCTGCGTCTGCGTCTGCCTCGGTGGTGGTTGGTGCCGAGGCCGTCGTCGTTGTTATTGCGGAGCGATGCCTCTCCCCCCACCCCCACCCCTCTTCCGCGTGCGTCGTCGTTGCTGTCCTTGTTGTGTTTACCACCATCGGTTACTGTTTACTGTCGGGCCGGTCGTACTCCCCCTTGGCCTTTTCGGAAGGCGGGGGTTAAAATCCGGCCGCCATGGGATGGGACCCGTCTGTCACCCACCGCGACACGAGTCGAAGGGCAGCCGCTCGTGCCGTTTCGGGGAAGCGGGCTAGTCCCTGCGGAGGCGGGGGCGCCTTCCCCCATTCGGACGGGCGGCGTGCGTGTCCTCGGCGTTCGCTCAGCACCTATTATCTGGCGACGATGATGATGATGAGGCCGGGGGCGGCCGTTCGGTTTACGCTCCTGTTTACAGCAGTGGTGTCGTACGCCGTGCTCCTGCTCAAACGCCCACCGTTGACCTGCGCACACCGATCGTGTCTTTTCAGCAGGAGCGAGGCCATTTCCTGATGGATCGGGGAGAGAAAAAGAAGGGACACGATGCCAAACCCGGGCACGTAAAAAGAAGGAAGGCATACGCCGTAGACGTAGCCCCAGGGCAGCGCCACATGCGGAGTGTCAGGACCATCGCGCGCAGAGATTCATCAAGGCTCCTCTCTCCCGCTAATAAACCCCGTCGGTCGGGCATCCTATGCCGGCCGGTGGCACCAGCGTGTCCGTGTCCCTCACGAGCCCATCCCTCCCTCCCGCGGGAGGGAAAAACCCATCCTCCGGCTGACACGGTGCGGTGCCCGTAACCGTAAGCCTGTGCCGTAACGTGGAGCACGGCGGCACGCGCGCATCTCGTGTCCGTCGCCTTGCACCCCGATCGCGCGAACGCGGCCGTTGCGTCCGGACATAAGCGCCCGGCGCGGCAGCATGATTAAGCAAGGAGCGAGCACAAGCCGCCGTGTAAAAACACGCACGGTAGACGGAGCACCGTCCACGGCTTTGCCGGGTCCCATCCCGGCTCCTAGAGCATCTCTAATTATCCCTAAGGCCAACTCCACCGCACGACCCCAAACGGACGTCCGGATTGACCGGATTTTGTCCCTTGGGGGCGCCGATGGGTTCGGCCGTATCCGGCCTTGTCCGTTGGGTCGTGCGTGCGTCCACCGCACAACCGCACCTCAAATCACGTCTGTGTCAGAACATGATTTAAAAAACAGAAAACATAAATAAAATGACTAAAAAAAGTCAATAAACACAGTTTAATAAACATAAAACTTAGTTGGGGGTCATGGCCACAAAACGGCCCAGTTTCACGTTCGAGTGACATTAATAATTAAACATAAAAAAGAAAAAGAAAAACGGCCGCCGCCCGCGCGCTCCTGCTCGTGCCCGTCGATGCCATCGCCGTCGCCGTCTTCAGTGGCCGCCGGTGTCGTCGTCGTCGCTGACGAGGTCGACGTAGGCCGGCGGCGTCCAGAGGTGGGCCGACGATGCGTGGTAGACGGGGGCGGGCTGGACGGCGGGAGGTGCCTGCACCACCTGCTCCTGTGGCGACGCCTCCCGCTCCGGTGACCGCAGCGGAGTGGCGCACCAGTTCACGCCCATGCTGGCGGCCATCTCCGGAGCAGTGCAGGACCAGCCCCACCCCTGGCCCAGCAGACCCGAGTGGAACACGGCCACCGGCTCCTCCTCCATCTCCGGCTCCGCAGCCACCACCTCCAGCTCGGGGATGGCTACCTCGCCGACGGCGGAGCGGGCCATCATCTCCTCGAGGCCCTCCCATTTGGCGCTCATCGTGCGTGCGCATGGAGTCTTCCATGACACGCGCCATGAGACGGGCCTCCTCCTCCGCTGTCATGCAAGGAGGTGGTGGCGGCGATGGAGATGGCGAAGGAGACGGCGTGGGCGTGAGGCCGCGCACCCGCCTACGCCCGCGCTCCTGGGGAGCAGCCGCTCGGCGCTCTGGGCGTGGCCGCCGTGGCCCCGTCGACGTGCCGGCGAAGAAGGACGCCCGCCGCGTGTCGTGCTCATCGCGGAACCAAGTGTCCCACAATGGCGAGTCGGGGCGTACCTCTCGCCGTAGTAGAGGTCGTCCGGGAGGAGGAGGCAGCGGCGCTCGATCTCCTCACGGCGCGCACGGCTGGTCACCGGGACCGGCGGGATCGGCACGCGGTCGGCCGACAGGTGCCAGTTGCTGGGGAGGTGGACGTCGCTCCAGGGAAGCGGCGTCCTCGTCTCTCAGTAACGGCGGCACACACTAGCGCGGATGTAGTGCCGGTCGCGCTCGCCGACGGACGCGGGGGCGATGGAGAACATGGGCGGCGAGGGGCCCGCGCGTGGTGGAGACGCGGGCTCCTCCTTCACAGAGCCGGCGCGGCGCCCCGACGAGGAGCCGGCCTCGCGGTCGTGCTTCCCCTTGCGGCCTTGGTTCCAGAAGCCCATGGCTTCGAGGTGGTCGGCCGGCGAGCTCGAGGACGGGGGAGGACTAGGGTTTGGCACTGTCGGGTTTCGAGGAGGCCGCGGGATGGAGTGGGGTAGTGTGGACGACGACCGGTCCACGGGTTGCCCATTTAACAAGGACGGGGACCTTCCACTGGGCCGATGACAGGTGAGACCGATCGCTCGTGCGCATTTATGTTGGCGGGTGGAAGGTAGGTGGCCGCCCCGCCACGCGCCAGACGCGGACGAGCGGCGCGTCCATTCGGTGTCCGCGGCGCCCCAAACCCGGAGTAACTTTGCTCTCCAAATGGGTTGGCCCGGACACAAAACGGACCAGATGGGTTCGGGCCGTCGCGCGCTGGGCCGCTCCGTTTGTCCGTTTTACCTCAAACGGACGAGGCCGAACATGATAGGGTCGCGCAGTGGAATTGGCCTAATAAACCTTTCTTTAAACATAGTACAGACGCAAGCACTCATATATACTAGATGATTCCCCACACATTGCTACGGGAATTCAAGCCAAAAAAATTGTTAGATTCTTTTTTAATAATGATAGCTTGTGACATGAGAAAAACACACATACATAAGGCATCGCCAACTGATTACTTGAACGTGTCTTTAGTTTCCTCCTTTGATGTTGCATACACTATGTAGTACTAAATCTTGTTAATTAAGCTACTTGTCTTGAGTCATTCCTAGTCTCAAAGTAATACCTCCAGGTAAAATTTGCCATCATCCATCACAAAACTGCAAACAAAATCCACACATACATACTATGGCATAATATAAATTCAGTAGGACAAAATAAATACACAACGTGTCCTGGTACAAACTATTTTTAAGTCTGACGGAAGGCCTTGTTACCCTTAGTTGTGCATAATAGGAATCCCTTGCAAAGATACCACAGAGGCTCGGCTCCTACCAAGGGCCTAGCTTACGGGAGAAGGAAAGAGGAAGCTGGAGTAGGTACCATGGCCTTCTACGTGGAAACAGCGAGGAGGTCGTCTCGCCTATACCTCCGGCTCTGCCGCGTTACGGCCGGATGACAATCAAACATAGCATGTTGCCGGGCATTTAGTTCCCATGTGCCTCAGGTGGAACAACTCACCATAGTTGGCATGGAGGAGCTCCCGCTCATCCGCCTCCATGGCCAGCGCCTCGCTTGGTGATGTCATGTTTGAGCACGCCCAAACGGTGTGTAAGAAGCAAAGTAGATGCATCCGCAGCAGCAGGATGGGGCAGAAGCAAAGCTCGCAGCCTTGTACCAGTAGGTGCACCCATGGCCTCCATGTCATGGTGACATTGTCGCACCGCCGTACTCGCGGTTGCAGCATGTGAAGTGGACAGACCAAAGCATGTTTGTGATAGCACGGCTTCGGCCATAGTCCAAGTGGATGCACTCCATGCAGTTTATGTGGACGGCTCCATGGCGGCGATGTAGGTCAGGTGCCCATTTGTTGGGAAACATAGTAGAAAATAAAAAAAATCCGCACCTACGATCACCCAAGAACAATATGAAGATGCATAACGGGTTGTGATCAAAGATCGTTACCGACTCCGGAGTGCAACGAAAGTAGGCGAGTCGGTGTAGATCGTACTTGAAGTCCCTCGAACGTTGATGACGATCACGCGGAACGCCCTCGAATGATCCCTCAAACTGAAGACCGAAAGCACGACCTCTCTACTTGGTTGCAAGCGTATGGTCTTCACGATCCGGCAGCACTTCACCGTCCAAAGCTAATCATCGCCGGAGAATTAGAGGGAGGAGATTAGAACCACACAGGGCTTCTAATTATGAGTATTAGAGGTGGCTAGGGCTAGCTCTAATTAGTCTGGAACCAAGTAGAACTAGATCAACTAGAGGAGGCTCCCAAAACTTGTGTTGTCAAAAGGTCCAAATCCTCTAGTATATATAGGTTTGAGAGGGGGGAGGAGGCGCCACACAAAGGGGGGAAATCCTCCCCTTTGTGGCCAGCCAAGAGGAGGGGGAAACCCCATGCAATTCGGCCTCCTTCCCTCCTTACCATGTGGAGAAGGGGGGCGCCTCCCTATTGGGCCCTTGTGGCCCAATACTCCTTCCACCATTAGGCCTTTTAAGGCCTGTTGATATTAAGATAAATATAAAATTGTTCTAAACATTTTCAGAGCATCATATATATAGTTTAACATGCTCAAAAACATTTTTCACCTATATATATTAATCGGTTGAAGTGCAACTATCCCTGGGTAGTTTTGGTAATGATTAACAACATATAGCTCATTGAACTAATGCTATTTCAAGATAAACATTTCAGGAAAGTTCAATGATTTGCATGGCATGGATTAGGAATGTGGACCCCTCAAAATGCTAA